TCTTTAATAGTTGACTTGGGATTCTTCCTTGGGATGCCTTGCTTCTTGTTGGATGGTGTGGCTTCTTGGAAGGATTCTTCTAGAAAAAGAAAAAGGCACCGCCTTAGTCTTAAAGTTTTTATTCATATACTATAGCTTTTTGAGATGTGATTCACAACCCTACCATTCATCCATTTAAAGTAGACAGTTTAATGAGTTTTAGTATATTCACAGGTCAACTGCTCTTTATTGAATTTTTGCCATTGTGCTAGGTATTGTAAATGAGAGAACTGAGGAGTAAGGTAGACAGTAAACACTTGTAATGTTTTTCTTCTCTGGTTGTCCTTTAACAACATAAGAGAGTTTCACATTGGCCCAAGTAAGAGAGAGAGTGTTAGGAAAAGGAAAGAACTTGGGTTTCAGAGACTTGGGTTAAACTCCTGGACACTGGATTAGCCATGGTCCATTTGTCCAGATGCCTTACCTTCCATAAGTCTCAGCTTTCCTATCAGTCCCATAGGGTCATCGTGAGAAAAACTGAGAGAACAAACAGAAAATATGAACTGGGCCACATCACAGGTGTTGATAACCAGTGAACTGGTTCCCAGAGTTTACCAGCAGTAGCACTAACTAAAATTCAGTATTTTGTGCCACTAGACTGTTAGGTTTTTGTTTATTTTTGGAGTTGGTGTTTATAGGAAAATTATATATATACTAGAGGCTCTGTGCATGAAATTCATGCAAAGGGGGTGGTTCCCTCAGCCCAACCTGCACCCTCTCCAATTGGGGACCCCTGTGGGATTGGGCCTAAACTGGAAGTCAGACATCCCCCTCGCAATCTGGGACCGTTGGCTCCTAGCCACTCAACTGCCTGCCCACCTGATCGCCCCTAACCACTCTGCCTGCCTGCCTGATCATCCCTAACCTCTCTGCCTGCCTGCCTGGTTGCCCCTAACTGCTTCTGCCTGACTGCTGGATCGCCCCTAACTGCTCCCCTGCCGGCCTGATCACTCCTCACTGCTCTCCCCTGCCAGCCTGGTTGCCCCTAACTGCCACCCCCCCGCCCCCGCCAGCCTAGTTGCTCCCAACTGCCCCCTCCTCACCCCCCCGCCAGCCTGGTCGCCCCCAGCGGCCTTCCCCTGCCAGACTGGTCATCCCCAACGGCCCTCCTCTGCTGGCCTGATCTTGCCCCCATTGGCCTTCCCCTGCAGGCTTGATCTCGTCCCCAACTGCCCTCCTCTGCTGGCCTGGTCATCCCCAACTGCCCTCCCTGCCATCCTGGTTGTCCCCAACTGCCCTCTCCCGCTGGCCTGATTGCCCCTAACCCCCTGCTGGCCTGGTCTCACCCCCAACTGCCCTCCCCTGCTGTCCTGATCGCCCCTAACTGCCTCTGCCTCAGTCCCCACCACCTTGGCTTTGTCTGGAGGGAGGTTGGACGTCCAGAAGATGGCCGGTTAAACCAGTCTTATTAGCATATTGCCCTTTTATTAGTATAGATTATATAGGATAGGATTGCTTAAATGGGGGGGAAAAGCCTTTTTCAGCAGGAGGAGATGCTCTTGGCAGACAAAAGTACATAATCCCTATATCAGCAAGCAACAGATAGCCAGGCATATGCACTATACTGCCAAAGTGGTCATTAAAAAATTGAACCACTTTCTTACACCTTACACCAGTTCTCAACCTTCTGGCCCTTCAAATACAGTTCCTCATGTTGTGACCCAACCATAAAATTATTTTCGTTGCTACTTCATAGCTGTAAGGTTGTTACTGTTATGAATCGTAATATAAATATCTGATATGCAGGATGGTCTTAGGCGACCCCTGTGAAAGGGTTGTTTGACCGCCAAAGGGGTCGCGACCCACAGGTTGAGAACTGCTGCCTTACACCAAACAGCTGTTGCCCTTAAAACCCCTCCTCAGCCCCCACCTTAGGTTGTGCCTTTACAGTTCACCCAGATTAGGTTCTGATTGGTCAGTTTCTATGCCAGTCAGTGTCAAAAGCTCCACCTCCTAGGCAGCCATTGGTTCTTCTGGGAAATCCAGAGCAGCCCCGCTGACAGCTATCTCTCTTGCCAGGCCTATCTTGGGGCCTGATCCACAGCGGCTGCGCATCAGGCCCTGCTTCTCTATCTCTCCAGGCCTTGCCAGCAGCTGTGATGGCTGCTGATCAGGCCCCTCTTCTCTCTCTCTCTCTGGGCCTGATCCGCAGCCGCCCCACCTACCTTGCCCCACCCACCCTCTTCCACTGTCCGGCCCGCCTGCCACCAGCATTGCTGTGATAGGAGCCTGTGGGCCACTGGGGAGGGACGAAGAGGTGCTCCATGCACTTCCTGGTGACTGGTCATCCGTCTGGTCATTTAGGTCGTGACGGCCCTAGGCTATTATTAGTATAGATAGCCAGCATATCTTGAGTGTTTCTTTTTTAGGGGTGGTGGATGAGGATAGTTAACATTTAGATGAGAATATAAATTCTTGTAAGCAGGCATTTGAGTTGATATATTATTTCCCTTTACTTTTCTTTAGAGTCTTTCTCTGAGGATGAATGGAATTTACTGTATGTTGCAGTCACTCGTGCCAAGAAGTGTCTCATCATGACCAAATCATTGGAGAACATTTTGACTTTGGCTGGGGTAAGAGGAACTGGTAGCACAAGTTAGTTTAACAACATTGGATTATATTGGGTTTGAATAGGGATCAACCTTTCCTGGGTTGGAAGAGAAGGGCTTCTCTTTTTCTAGTGCACAGAAGCCTATTGCTAGTGCAGGAAGTGTCCTAACCAAAGAAACAAACATGTGGGTTCTTTTCTAAATTCTTTCCTGATCTAGTAAGTTCTTTTAAAAATATCAGCTGTGTTCATGCATTTCTTAATTTCTCCCTTATTCGATTAGTGCTTAACACTCTTAGGGAAAAACATGGCAAGAATGTTTTCTGTGTTTGAACTTTCTCCCCCTCACTCCCTGGTTCCTTTTGAACTGGCAACTGTTGCTGCCAGGGGAGAATGTGCATTCAGGTACCTGGCCTCTTGTCACTGGCTAAGATGCAGAAAAGTATCAGCACTCACTCTTTACTCCTGCAAATCAGTCTTCTCCCACACTCTCTTGTTTCCACCTTTCATGGACTGGAGCAGGGGTCCTCAAACTACGGCCGGCGGGCCACATGCAAATACAAATATTGTATTTGTTCCCGTTTTGTTTTTTTACTTTTATAGTTGATTTGTTCAAATCAGGATCCAGACATTTGGCTGTTAGGTCTTTGATGTTTCTTAATTTAGAGCAGTCAAGACCCTCTCCCTCCTTTTCAGTGCTCCTGGGGTTTTTGCAGAAATGGAGTCAGTTTTTCTACATAATATTTCACATTCTAGATTTATTGCTTTGTGTGGTTGGATAGCCTATTCTATTATTGCCTACCCTGGATTTTCTATAACTGGAATTTGGCCATAGAGACTGAATTAGGCTCAGGCTTCACTTTTCTGGCAGGGATCCTGTATTTGGGGGTCAGGGAGAGACTTTGCTTTGTATTGCCTTATATCAAAAGGCAGTGATATCAGATTATCTCCCTTTTAGTGGGGTTAAGATTGTTCAACGTTTTAGTAGATAGAGATAGTAAATCATTCATATATATATATATATATATATATATATATATATATATTTACACACACACATATATGAATGGGGGAGGGATGGACGGTAATAACTGAGCATGTGAAAGTATGTTGTGAACAGTAGGGTCATGCATGGTGAAGTTTTTAGGGCAAAAGTGAGTCATTGTTTCCCACCACCTAGAGTGATAACTATTTGGTTTCCCCTGTAATCAAGAGTAGGGCAGGCAGCCTCTTTTTCTCTGACCCCCTTAGAAAATCTAGCTAATCACTAGGAGCTTTTTTGTTTCTTTGCTTATTTCATGTTTTGAAGAAGTGAAGGGACTCACTGTGTTGCCAAATTATGAAGTGACATGGAGTTATACTAGTTGCTCAAAGACAGCTTCTTAGCCTCCTAGAATCTTAATCCAAATCTCACAGGCACATCCTTAGTACAGTGCTTAGCACATGGTTGGTGCTCATTGTTTGTCGAATGGATGAAACAGCCCCTCTCATTCTTAGGCTGCGCACGGCCTGATCCCACAGGCCTCCGATGAGACTACCTTGGTTAACATCCCAGTTTTTCCACCTGGGTACTTGTGACTTTGGGCAAGCTACTGAACACTCTGTACTTCTCTTTCCTAATCTGTGAAACTGGCATAATGGCACTGACTGCACCTCTGAGGAGGGGATAGAGAAGGTCCATGATGAACTGGTGAAATAACTGCTTTACAATCGATTGGGGAAAGCAGACGGACACTCAAGGGCAGTTAATTGTCTTTGAGACACTGAATCCCGGGAGGAGGTAGCATGGGGAGAACTGGCATTTGCTTCGGAGCTGTGTTGTCATGGCATGTGTGTGCTCATTCATTCAGCAGTGATTGTTGAGCACTTTCTACATGACAGAAGTGCTGTTGAGTCATGTGCTTCCATGTCATTTAGCTTTGTATCTGGACATTATCACAGAGACGGCGAGACAGAAATACTCTGTTGCTTGCTGATTAAGAGCACAGGCTCTGGACTTGGGCACACCGAGTTTAAGCCCCACAACTGCTGCAATCTAGCTCTGTGATCTTGTGCACAAGTGACCTAATTTCTTATCTGTCATACCCTCATCTATGCAATGGGGATAATGACAATGTCACCCCAGGAAATCATTGGTGAGGATTATATGTATAGTGCTTTATAAGCAAAGGATCTGACTGCTAGTACGGAAGCAAGGCATTTAAAAACAAGCAGCCTGGGATGATTTCAGGAGGAGAGGTGTAGGTGGTGGCATCATGTGCCTTTAGATTTCTGAAGGCCAGGGGTTCCAGCGAAGCTTTCTCCTCTGTGATAGTGTTTGTAACAGCTACAGTGGTCCATCTGCCAGTATATTACACAGTTTGATGTAAGCCCTTCACAGTTTTTTTGAGTGATGGAGTTTCTCCACAGCTAATGGTCTTTGTATCTGTGAAAGTATTGGATACCCAAGATGTCACTAAAGAATGTGGGTGGCACTCGCTTCGGCACGTATACTAAAATTGGAACGATACAGAGAAGATAAGCATGGTCCCTGTGCAAGGGTGACACACAAATTCTGTGAAGCGTTCCATATTTTTACACCATGACCAAGTAGGATTTATCCCGGGATGCAAGGATGGTACAATATCCACAAATCTATAAACATGATACATCACATAAACAAATTGAGAGATAAAAATCACATAGTCATATCAATTGATGCAGAAAAAGCATTTGACAAAATCCAGCACCTTTTCTTGATAAAAACTCTTAGCAAGGTGGGAATAGAAAGATCATACCTCAACATAATAAAAGCCATATATGACAAACCCACAGCCAACATCATACTCAATGGGCAAAAACTAAAACCATTTCCCCTAAGAACAGGAACAAGATAGGGATGCCCACTTTCACCACTCCTGTTCGACATAGTACTGGAAGTACTAGCCATTGTGATCAGACAAGAAAAAGAAATAAAAGGCATCCAAATTGGAAAAGAAGAAGTAAAACTGTCCTTATTTGCAGATGAAATGATACTATACATAGAAAATCCTAAAGACTCCATCAAAAAATTATTAGACTTAATAAATGAATTCGGTAATGTAGCAGGATACAAAATTAACCCCAAGAAATCTGAGGCATTTCTATACACCAATAGTGAACTTACAGAAAGAGAGACTAAAACAGCAATCCCATTTACCATTGCACCAAAAAAATTAAACTTAACTAAGGACGTAAAAGACCTGTACGCGGAAAACTACAGGACACTGAAAAAAGAGATAGAGGAAGACATAAACAAATGGAAGAACATACCGTGTTCATGGATTGGTAGAATCAACATCGTTAAAACGTCCATATTACCCAAAGCAATCTATAGATTCAATGCAATCCCCATTAAAATACCAATAGCATATTTCAAAGACCTAGAACGAATTCTCCAAAAAATTCATCTGGAATGAAAAAAGACCCCGAATAGCTGCAGCAATCCTGAGAAAGAAGAACAAAGTAGGTGGGATCTCAATACCAGATACCAAGCTGTATTTCAAAGCCACTGTTCTTAAAACTGCCTGGTACTGGCACAAGAACAGACATATAGATTAATGGAATAGAATAGAAAACCCAGAAATCGTCCCAAACCACTATGTTCAATTAATATTTGACAAAGGAGGCAAGAACATACAATGGAGTCAAGACAGTCTCTGAAATAAATGGTGTTGGGAAAATTGGACAGATACATGCAAAAAAAATGAAACTAGACCACAAACTTACACCATACACAAAAATAAACTCAAAATGGATAAAGGACTTAAACATAAGACGGGAAACCATAAAAAAATACTAGAGAATCCATAGGCAGCAAAATCTCAGACATATGCCGAAGCAATTTCTTCACCGATACCACTCCTAGGGCAATGGAAACTAAAGAGAAAATAAACAAATGGGACTACATCAAAATAAAAAGCTTCTGCACAGCGAAAGAAATCATCAACAAAACAACAAGAAAGCCCATTGCATGGGAGAACATATTTGCCAATGTTATCACCAATGAGGGTTTAATCTCCAACATTTACAGGGAACTCATACAACTTAACAAAAGAAAGATAAATGACACAATAAAAAAATGGGCAACGGACCTAAATAGATACTTTTCGAAAGAAGACAGAGGAAGGCCAAGAGACATATGAAAAGATGCTCAAAGTCACTAATCATCTGAGAGATGCAAATCAAAACGACAATGCAGTACCATCTCACACCTGTCAGAGTGGCTATCATCAGCAAACGGCAAGTGCTGGAGAGGATGTGGAGAAAAAGGAACCCTCGGGCGCTGCTGGTGGTAATGCAGACTGGTGCAGCCACTGTGGAGAACAGTATGGAGTTTCCTCAGAAAACTAAAAATGGAACTCCCATTTGACCCAGTGATCCCACTCCTAGGAATATATCCCATGAAACTAGAAACACCAATCAGAAAGGATATATGTACCCCTATGTTCATAGCAGCACAATTCACCATAGCAAAGATTTGGAAACAGCCTAAGTGCCCATCAGCAGATGAGTGGATTAAAAAACAGTGGTACATCTACACAATGGAATACTATGCTGTGGTAAAAAAGAAGAATTCTTGCCATTTGCAACAGCATGGATGGAACTGGAGAGCATTATGCTAAGTGAAATAAGCCAGTCAGAGAAAGATAAATATCACATGATCTCACTCATTTGTGGGATATAATGAACAACAAAGTGATGAACAAAAACAGATCCAGAGACAGAGAAGCATTGATCAGACCGTCGAACCTCAGAGGGAAGATAGGGGTGGATGGGGGTAAGGAGGAGAGATCAACCAAAGGACTTGTATGCATGCATACAAGCCTAACCAAGGGACACAGACAACAGGGGGGTGAGGACATGATTAAGGGGTGAGGGGACAATGGGGGGATAAAGACACATATGTAATACCTTAATCAATAAAGAAAAGAAAAGAATGTGGGTGGCTTAATTAGTTGATTTACCTGTTCATTCAGTTGACAAATATTAATTTACTAGAGGCCCGTTGCATGAAGAGATTCATGCAATAGGCCTTCCTTTGCCTGGCTGCTGGCACCGCTTTTCCTCCGGCTCCTGGGACCCAGGCCTTCGCTCCGGCCGCAGCGGAGAAGCCAAGCCTCGAGGCTTCTCTGCTCTGACTGCAGCAGAGAAGCCAAGCCTCTTCAGTCTTCAGTTTTCAGTCTTCGCTCGGACCAGAGCCTTCAGTCTTCACTCTGCACCTGCATGTGCAAATTAACCGCCATCTTTGTTGGGTTGATTTGCATACTCATCCTGATTGGCTGGTGGGTGTAGCAGAGTGACACCAATTTGCATGTTTCTCTTATTAGTGTGAATAGTGCCCGTGTTATATGCCAAGCGTTGCAGTTAGTGCTAGGAAGTTTGGGTAACAAATGTAAGGTGCCTGGTGATCTCATAGAACTTACAGCCTAGGAGGGAAGCATTAGGCAGTTTTAGGCCTAGCAGCAGGATTTTAGGAGTTGGAATGTTTCCAATGCCTTAGCTATTAGAGTTTCCAAGTAGAATGTGGCAGAGGCATTGCTGTAATTCTTTTTCCCATTCTTTTCTTTCTAGGAGTATTTTTTGCAAACAGAGCTGACAAGTAATGTTTTAAAAACAGGAGTGGTTCACTGCTGTGTGGGGCAGTGCAACAACACCATCCCAGTGGACACTGTGCTCACCATGAAGAAGCTCCCCATCACTTATGTATGTGGTCTTGGCTGCAGCTCTGGCTTTCAATAGAATTTAATTCAGTCATTTGTGTTTTATTGCATGTGAGCTATGTGCTTTCAGGGCTGTGGGTGAGGGAGATAAAAGAGGAGTTTGTATAATCTTTCTCAGGGGCTTTTCATATATAAGGCACAAGAGATGCCAGATCTACTTGTGTCAAAATGATGATAATGACATAATCAGTGTGCGTGGCATAGGCTGGGAGGTTGGGTTGTGACTGACAAGCCAAGGAGAACTGCTTCCCTGGAGGGTCTGGTTAACTTGTTCTTGGCTCTTCATCTCTTGCCTTAATAAATTTGGGTTTCTGTTGTAAGAGAATTTGATATAGTCTAGTCCACCCTAGATGACAGTGCAGTGGGAAGTATTACCTGAGAGGTTTGCACAAGTCTGAAAATATCAGAATCATAATACATAGTCCTTAGGCAGCATGAGAGCAGTTCAGCACTTCTTGGTATAATCCTTGTTCTTTGATTGTTCCCCATCCCTCTGTTTCTTATCCCTCATTGCAGAGCAACAGAAAGGAAAACAAGGGTGGCTACCTCTGCCACTCCTGTGCAGAACAGCGCATTGGGCCTTTGACCTTCTTGACTGCCACCCCCGAGCAGGTGCACTCCATGCCACCCACCGTCGAGAACATAGTGCTGCCCAGACACGAAGCTCTGCTTTTCCTTGTCTTCTGAAAGCCAAGAGGAGCATTCTTCATGGTACAGATTGCCTTCTGTGGATTCCTATTACTTGAAGAAAGCCAGTGTGGGGTGGGGTTCTCATTCACCTGAGACTCTGAATTCACTCACAGAGTATTTTTGAGGAAGATGAAGCCAACCAGAGTTGGACCTGCCATTTATCCATTCCCTATAGGTGATCAGTTTCCACTGCCCCTCCTCCATGCACCCAGGGGATGTGAGAGATGTTCTTTTGATTAAAAAAAAAAACCACAACAACATTTTATGTATTTAAGCTTTTATTACAAGGTTTCAATTAAACAGCCATTGTAGAACTGACATACCAATGTGTGACACCTGCCTTCAGCCCTGTTGTTTGAACTTTCTCCAGCTTTCTCTTTTTTCCACTTTTTCTAACAGCTCGGTCACTGTTCACACAATCACCAAGTAGAGTATGAAACTTAATATCCAGGGTATAATTGCTGCTTCAAAAATGAGATTTTCATGCTGGGGAGATTCATACTTGTATAAGACATAGTGTGTGTCTTTGTCATCACGGGGTTCACAATTTAAACAGGGAAGCAACATCATACAGAAAAAGGCAAGCACAAAGGTACAATAGCTAGACTTCCTGTGTTTCTGACAGGTAGAACCAAAGATGAGAAATATTTGAGAGGGAATGGGTAAAGGGGGTCAGAGGTAAAAATAAAAACAGACATTACTGAGTAACACCAGAAAATACCTTACTATTATCTAGTAATTTGTAACCAAAAGGAAAAAAAAATGCTTGAGAGGGAAGCAGAGGGGTCACAGGAGGGGAATGGGAGTAGGTAGAGGTGGAAAGTTGGTACCTGGTTCGTAGCCTGGGGAGTCTGGGTGGTTTTAATAAAGCTATTGTTAGAGAAAAAAAACAAATGAAAATTTTACATCGCTTAGATGTACATGGATCTGCTATTTCTACATTTTTGCCATACAGCACTTCAGGGATGCAGATGGCAGGTGAGGGAGTTGGCACAGCATTGCCCAAAGAGTTCACCACATCTAGTGTCTGAGCCAGTCGAGTGGAGTCCAAGAGCAGACCTCATAGCTTCAGTTGTTGCAGTCTCCCTTTAACTGCTCCTCCGTCAGGCCTCTAGTGGAGCTTAGATGCGGGCCGGTGAGTACAGCAAGGGTGCTGTTGGATTGCGCCAGGGGTGCTTGGAAAGGGTGAATACAAGTCACTGTTTGCATATGGAGGAGAATTCACAGAATTGGACCTAAAGACAAATTTAATGAGAAAGGGACAGGACTCTCTCATCCACTTGGCTGGTATTTCAGGCTTAGCCTTATTTGATTCTTATGGATAACTTGAAGAACAAGGGAAAGGGAATTATGTGAATTTACATTGGTTACAGTATTTATTGTCGTTCAGAAGAATGGTTTGGGCCCTGACCGATGTTCTCAGTGGTTAGAGCATCAGCCTGTGCAACAAAGGGTCATAGGTTTGATTCCTGGTCAAGGGCTCATACCTGGCTGGGTTTTGGGTTTATTCCCCGGCATGGTAGGGGCACGTACAGGAGCAACCAGTTAATGTGTCTCTCACATCAATGTTTCTCTGTGTGTGTGTGTGTGTGTGTGTGTGTGTGTGTGTGTCCCCCCCCCCTGCCTTCCTTCCACTGTCTCTAAAAATCAATAGAAAAAATATCGTTGGATGAGGATTAACCAAAAAAAGAGTGGTTTGGGGGAAGAGTGGCAAGAGAGAGCTCATTAACATGTTTCCTGGAAATCTAGTTTTGCCAACCAGAGAGGAAGCAACTTATTTATTGGAGGACAAGTCATTAACTCAGTGAACTTCACTTAGCACCTGTTGTGTGGCAGTTGCCATGTTAGTGGGTATATGGAATCAAAATGCAGTCCCTGACTCACGGAGATTGCTGTTGGTGTAATTGTAGTTTGAGGTGAGAAGTGTTGGAGAGGGGGCTGCATAAGTGCTCTGGGGATGTAAGGGGTGTCTTTATCTAAGTCCAGGGCCGAGGGCTGCCCCAAAGGGGGGTACTCTCACTGTGTTTAATAATAGGACAGTTAGTGAGCCAGCTATTAAAGAGGGAAAGAATATTCTGGGAAGAAGGAACAACCTGAAGGGCACAAAGGGTGTGTGCGATAATGTCACTACAAGAACAAAATGTCAACCAGTGCTAGTATTTTGGTACTTATTTTGAAAAACAGTAGAATCTAGGAATTAGTACTGGTATTTCATTTTTTAAGAATTAGTACTGATATTTCATTTGTAGCCCCATTTTTTAAAGAATTTTTTAAAAAATCAGTAAAACTAAATATTTGGTGTGTTTCAAATAGAAAAAGCAATTTTTAAGTACCCAGTAAAAAACATATATATTTTAAAAATAAGTGTTAAATGTCCACTATCATTTTAATATAACTGATTAGATGAGAAGAATAAAAGCATTACTAAAAATATAAATTATTGACTACATGAATATGAAAATCTATTAGATTATTATTTTTTTTTATTTTTATTTTTTAAAATATATTGATTTTTTACAGAGAGGAAGGGAGAGGGAAAGAGAGTTAGAAACATCAACCAGCTGCCTCCTGCACACCCCCTATTGGGGATGTGCCCGCAACCAAGGTACATGCCCTTGACCGGAATCAAACCTGAGACCCTTGAGTCCGCAGGCCGACGCTCTATCCACTGAGCCAAACCGGTTAGGGCTATTAGATTATTGTTAAGTATAGTCTTTAAAATAAGAGGCTCCCGTGATTTCATTTAGTTGTGAATATACAAGGGTGGGCAGAAGTATGTTTATAATTGTTCATATGGAAAAAGACATGGGTTATGCTTATTATAAGAACTTTATTACCACTGTTTCGTGTACTTACAACTGTAAAGCAACTTTTGCCCTCCCCTGTATTTTTGTGCAAGATTTTCTGTAGATGTTTTTTGTTGTTGTTTTATAGCCATAGTAATTGGGAGAAAATAAGGAAAATAATTAGAAGCTAGTTCCAAATATTTTGCTTTGGTTCAATCATTTTTTTTTAAATTTTATTTTTTGCTAAAAGTATTACAAAGGGTATTACATATGTGTCCTTCCCCCCCCCCCCCGCCCGCCCTTGACAATCCCCTGCCCTCCCTTACCCCCCAGTGTCTTATGTCCATTAGTTATGCTTATATGCATGCATACAAGTCCTTCGGTTGATCTCTTACCCCCCCTCCCTCCTGCCCCCCAACCCTCCCTGGTCTTCCCACTGCAGTTTGACAATCAGTTTGAGGCAGCTCTGCCTCTGTATCTATTATTGTTCAAAAGTTTGTAATAGTCTTTATTATCCATGAATGAGTGAGATCATGTGGTATTTTTCCTTCATTGACTGGCTTGTTTCACTTAGCATAATGCTCTCCAGTTCCATCCATGCTGTTGCAAATGGTAAGAGTTCCTTTTTTACAGCAGCATAATATTCCATCGTGTAGATGTACCACAGTTTTCTAATCCATTCATCTACTGATGGGCACTTAGGCTGTTTCCAGATCTTAGCTATGGTGAATTGTGCTGCTACGAACATCTGGTTACATATATCCTTTCTGATAGGTGTTTCTGGTTTCTTGGGATATATTCCTAGTAGTGGGATCACAGGGTCAAATGGGAGTTCCATTTCCAATTTTTTGAGGAACCTAGGAGGATATTTTTAGAGAGAGAGGAAGGGGCAGAGAGACAGAGAGAAAAAGAAACACTAATTTGTTGTTTCACTTAATTACACATTCATTGGTTGATTCTTGTATGTGCCCTGACCAGGGATAGAACCTGCAACCTTGGCATATTGGGATGATGCTCTAACCAACTGAGCTACCCAGTCAGGGCACATTCCTCAATATAAAGTTTTTTAAATACAGTTTTTTTCCCCCACTAGATTGGTATTTTCTTCTTCTTCTTTTTTTTTTTTTATCCCCACTTCTTATCACAAATACAGAAAAAAAAATGCTATTACAATCTCTTGCATGCATTGACTACCATAACCTTCTAAGTGGTCTACCTGTGTCCATATTTGCTTTCCTACATTCTAGCTTTGAAACAGCAGAGAAATCTTTAAACTTCTTTGATCTTATCTTGCGTAACTAGTAAAGCCCAATCTCCTTTCCTTGGTTTTGAAGTCCTTCATTGTTCTGCTCCTGCTTCCATCTGCAACTCCATTGTGTTCTACCTGACTCTTCACTCACATTATTCTAGGCAAACTGGTTTTGATTCCTGAAAATGACTTGCTCTTTCTCTCCTCAGGGCTTTTACACAGACAGTTCTTGGCTCCTGAATGCTCTTCATCTGGCTAACTTCTGTTCAACCTTTGAATTTTAGCTTCAATGTTATTCCATAGAGGAGGCCTCAATTAGATCCCTTCTG